CCAAGCTGGCTGTACCTGACCATGCCGATCACGAACAAGCTCGGGTAGAATGGATAGACACCGTACTTCTAATAAAGAAACCGCGTGTATTTATTTTGAATTTTTTCCACCATGTCGATGTATTTATCTTCATGGGGATTCCAAATAATTGCACTCGTTTCTAGCTGGCTGCGAACAAGTGCATTGTATAAAACTTAAATCATGCCTGTACTAAAGAAATCCCTGCAATTTCTCAGGATAAAACCTAAGTTTCTGAAGGCCTTACCGCAGATATCTACAATGCGCTTACGATTCATTTACGAAAGTTTTAGTTATGTACGAAAGTAACGCGCGGCATTACTGTGCCGTTAACCTCGTATCGGTACTGCTGCGGCGCCTGTCTGCGCCCGTAGCTTATTATCTCGCACTTCGACGTGTTAAAATATAACTTATTAATTGCGCTCCACTGGACGACCGTATCTATATCTCGCTGAAGCTGCTCATAATCCGAAACGTCCGCTACCGACAAAAACAGTTTTAAGTCGTCTGCAAGCAGGAGACATTTCGAGACATTATCGACCTCTGAGGGATCATTTATCAATAATATGAACTCCAAGAGACCCAAATTACTCCCCTGGCTCACAACCGAGAACGTGAAGTAAGGTTCAGATTCATAACCCGCCAACTCGACGTACTGTCGGTGTTCACCAAGGTAACTTGCGAAAAATTTTGAAAGATGCGATGTGAAACATACCGCCGCAAATTTTTCTAAAAGGATATCGTTATCCACAGTATCAAATCTCTCCGAAAGTCGAAGTAAGTGGCATCCATCTGCCCCCCCAGCGTCGATAGCTGGCGTCAGATATGTCATAAATGACAGAAAGTTGCTCGCTGTACTTCGACTCGGCCGAAACCCAAGGTGAACGTCGGTCAGCTGCGTATAAATACATTTTTGTTACAGCAGCATACAGCACCGCCACGGGTCGATATTCGCTCACATCTGAAACTCCCTTAGGCACCGGCATCACTCTGGTCATTTTCCATCCTTCAGGATGGTAACCTACTCGGAGACACAGATTAAAAACGTGAACCAGAGGATTTTCAAAAACAGAGCGACAGTCTTTGAAAATGTAAGGTAGTATACCGTCAGGGCCTACTGAGCGCTTAGGCTTAAGGCGTGCGAGAGCGGTACGGATGTCGCATGCGCTCAGCTGGCCGACGTGCACACGAGCTGTGCCAGCACGCGCGCTTCACGCACGCTCCGCCACCTCCGGGTCCAGCACCGGCCGCATCACACTATACATAGATTGAAAATAAGACGCGAAACATGCGCACACGACTGATCACTTAGCTCTAGACCGTTTTTTGTTACACCTTGACTGCTTACATCTTACGTAATTCCAAATGGATTTCGAATTGTCCTTAAAATTCAGCTGTAATTTCTCCTAGTAGGCTTTATAATTGACTTTTAACTTATATTTTAATTGAGATCGATACGGAGAAAACGCTTCGTAATCACATTGGGCACCCGTCATTTTATACAGTTTATGATACCTCCACTTTCGTTTTATATCGCGTATTAAATCAAATGAGTACCATTCCGGGTAAAATTACTAGGAACGATTCCTAATAATTTTGGTCCTATGGGCTCTAGGAATACAACGGTCTACTACCTCATTTACAACCGTGTTAGGTAGGTAGGTAGGTACCATATGGCTACCTCTGGGGTGTCAATTTCATATAAATGATCCCAATAAATTTGTTGGAAGCTATCGTACAACATATGAAAATTGGCTTTATAGAAATTCCATCTCTGTTTATTACAACACTTATCAATCCCATCATGAGAAAGGAGGCATTGCACCTGCGGCTCCCTGGCATTGCCCACCTTCACGCTAACATATACCGGGGGATGTTGTACGTCAATATCTACTAACGGGTCATTAGACAACTTTATAAATCCGTAAATAATAGTTTTATTCTTAGAACACATGATTATAAGTGGATACTGCAATCCATAGACACTTGGCAAGCAAAAAGGATTCGATCGGATAAACGTACAGATGAAGTTGGCATTTGAGAAAACCTTATACATATCTATAAATAAGTATTACTACTTACTTTATATGGTTAATGATATTAAATTTAAGAAGAGATTTAGTTATTTTATCAAACAAATTTCAATTTTTTGACGGGAAAAGAAGAACAATACAGGATATTATTATATTATTACTAATAATATATTAGAAGCTCCATTTGGCATAATCTAATATTTAACTAAGTATTTTTTGAAGTGGAAGTTGCAGTTCATGAAGAGTACGCAAATAACAGAAGTTTTAAATGTTAACTCATACGGAAAGCTGTAGTATTCTGAGTTATTTGGATTAATTATTCAGCAGCTTGTAATAAGTTGCTCTTCCGTTGTAGGGAGGATTTGCCACAGAATAGAATAAAACGGAATGGAATGTAATGAAACGGATAAGAATGGAGTGAAATCGAGTAGAATGGAATGGAATAGAATAGTGGTACCAGATGGTCTTTGGTGCTGTTCCCCGTCGACTGTTCGGGTATACTTGGCGTAAATGCGATGTTATTGGAAGTCATTTATCAGAAGCCATAAGATTTTTTTGAATTTCCCGTAATAATTTCTTATGACACCCAACGGACGAAAAGTGGCGATTGATCGTTTTACGGCGCCACCACACGACACAGTATTCCGTAGTCACCTGTTATAACATTACGAAATGAATTCGGGTGGTGGATTCTGGTTTTTGGACTCTTCTCTCTCTCTCTCTCTCGAAAGTTCTTTTTCTAAATGTGTTGATAGTTTTTAATTGATTTATTTATCTAGTTCAAAATTTTTGTATTTATTTTTTTAGTATGAAAAGTTTACTATAATTGTATGTGTAATGTATTTATGTATTTATTGATAGATCATTTTCATAATGTGACAATAAATTTAAAAAAATTGTAAAATTTCTGTGACATAGGCTTCTATTTTTTTCCAGGTGGTAAAAATAATCAAGCAGTATATATAGACAAATTTTTACGAAATACAACGACAGCGCATAAAAAACGAACAAACAAATATTAATGTTTATATATTAGAGGATATACCATTACTTTACTAGCGGCAATAAAACAATGAATTTGTAACACAGTGACTGCACTCGCTGAAGGCCTCTTTGTCCTTTCGCAGGGTTGCAGGCGCAAGAAAAAGGCCGCACGCGCTCATTTAAGTCAGCAGTGAGTAGCTACGGCGTGACGTCGTATAACTTGTTTATGTTTGCTCGTGTATATCGGCCGCCCGCCAATAGTTATAGTAAACATGTAACAATACTCTAATGTCGAATAAATAGCCACCTATAGTGAACCAAATCTAAGAAATACATTTTGACAGCTGTCAGAATTATTGCATCAAGAATGCCAACCAAAAAATGGGAACGTACAATATTCGATTCTTAAAAAAATCGATATCGATTATTTAAAGTTGGTAATCACTTACAGTTTGGTTTGAATAATACCAGAATAAATTAAAAAGGATAATTTAAAACACAAGATTTATCAGTTTCTTCGTATTTGTTGTTACTGCTTATTTATAGAGGCACAGTTATAAAAATTTAAGATTGAAACTCGATTAAAAATAAATTTATTCAATCACTTTCAGTACAACTAGTGTCGTTGTGTGTATTAATTATTATTTAATTTTCAATAATGCAGTCAAAATTAATGTCTCTTTCAAAGTCATCCATAATCAATTTTCTTGTTTTTTCTACCACTTTTGCCCAATCATTCTTTGTGACATGGGCACATGCTTCAACGAATATTTTTTGTAGCATTGGGTGACAAACGAGCACACACTCCACCTGATGTGATTTACATTTATCCTCACTTAAGAATCAAAATGCAAGTGCTTTGTCACGCCTGAGGACTAAGATGAATGCCTCGATTCCAGTAAAAAGGGTCTCCGGTTCTCTAAACTCACCATACGAAACACATCAGCATTACGCTGCTATTTTACGCCAGTATTCTGTGAGAGCGTGGCGCCCTGGTTGAGCCGACCCATTCGTGCTACAACTATAATATAAATTGTAGCGTGACTCTACCCCGTACAAAAAGTTATTATATTTTTTCGATTATTCGCATAACAATGAATTTTAATCATCCAAACACTACAGCAATATACATAGCGACATATCATTGAAATGAAGTGAAGTAAAAAAAGTTAATACTGGTTATTTTATAATATTTTGCTTTGTTTGAAAAATTCAAATTTAAATTAGTGATAAAAAACTATATACGTTGTAATGAAATATTGATAACTTCATAATTCTTCGGATTTACGTAAAAGGTTATAAACCCTACTCGGGGTGCTGGAGCACCCCACAAGGTTTATTTTTCTTATTTATTTTGTTGATTGATAATGCACGTGTTTGACTTTCCGCCTATTTTACTTTGAGGTTCCGCGCCACGGATTGGCCAGTGTCACGGCGACAGCCGGCTGTTATAGACGCGTGCACGTGTGTCGTTGGGTGCTGTAGCACCCCAGTGTAGGAACAACGTAAGTTTTTAAAAATTTTATAAAACTAATTTTTTAATCTTACTTCTATAGTTGAATTATTTTATTATTAACGTATAGATTGCGGTTCAAACATTTGATTATAGAGGTTATGTTGTAAAATAAAACATAACCTATACAATTCAATTTTACTTAATTTTTCCTTTAAAATTCAAAAATATGTATTGCACAACAGTATATTTTTCAATGTTTTTAGTGTTTTTACGTTATAGTTTGCAGATGGCTGTGGAAGGTGGACTGAATGATGAAGAAATACGTCTCATAGTAAATCAGGAATCAAGTGACGAGGAAGACCTAGTTTTTCGTGGTCCAGTTACAGAAGATTCTGATGATGAACCTGATGGTGTTTTAGAAAGATTTTCGTCATATGAATGTGATTGGTCAAACAAATAATGCAGAGAATTCCGAAACAAATAACAAATAATGATGTAGCGATGATGATATGACTTTGCAAGAGCTATCTCAGGATTTAAGAAGACAAGGAAAACTAAAGGTATTGAATGTTCCAAGAGCTCTTTACGGGAAAGGAAAAAATAATAGACACAAGTGGAGAGGAGAAAAGCCAGTGAGGCGTAGAACTCAGCAGCGCAACATTATTATGCATTTATCTGGAAACAAAGGTGAAGCGAAAAGTATTACAAAGCCATTAGAAGGTTGGGCTCTCTTTCTCAATGACGAAATACTAAATAAAATTGAATATCATACAAATAAAGAAATTGAAAAAAAAAAACGTAAGAAATATAAAGGCTTTCAGGAGGAAGAAGATGGTGAAGAGAATATCACCTCGTCCAGTTTACCATCATTTGTAAAACCAGTATCATTGGTAGAGTTAAAGGCTTTAATTGGGCTTTATTATCTCGCAGGAGTGTTTTAAATGAACGACATAAATACCAAAGAGTTGTTTGACAAATTTACTGGCGTGATGCTTTTCAGAGCCACAATATCCCGTTGTCGATTCGAGTTCTTGACAAATTGATTGATTAGATTTGATGACAGAGACACACGCGAAGAACGTAGAGCTACCGATCGCTTAGCTCCGATTCGTGAAGTGTTTGATCATATTGTAAAAAAGTGTGACAAATACTACACACCAACTGATTGTTGTACTATCGACGAACAATTATTGGCTTTTAGAGGGCGCTGTGTCTTTAAAATGTACATACCCTCAAAGCCCGATAAGTACGGGATAAAAATTTTGATGAAAAAATATGTCAGTGCCTGAGTACTACGTTATGGAACTCTCCAAGCCATTGTATGGATCCCGTCGCAACATAACCATGGACAACTGGTTCACCAGCATATCATTAGCCAAAAATCTGATTGGAAATGAATTGAACATGGTCGGAACGACGCGAAAAAATAAAGGAGAAATACCAGAGTCCTTTTTGGAGTTAACAAACAGAGAAAAAAATACCGTTATGTTTGCGTATCATGGACCTCTAACTCTATTGTCCTATTGCCCACTGAAATCGACAAAGAAAAAAGTCATCATCATGTTGTCAACTCTCCACGATTCTCCAGATAACAAAAATGAAGTTGAGCTTCCAGAAATTATTCATTTTTATAATAAAACAAAGGGAGGAGTGGATGTGTTCGATGCAATGGCTAAAAATACTCTGTCCAAAGAAGAACCAATCGTTGGGCAATGTGTATTTTCTATGGGTTATTGAATGGAGTTGGTATTAACTCTTGGGTTCTCTACAAATGCTCAAAAGCAAATAATAAGCCTGACATAAAGCTTCGTCGTAGTTTTCTAAAAGAATTGGGAATGAATCTTATAGATGAACATTTGAAAATGCGCCTGCAAACACCAACTTGGAAGAGGGATATAAAGGAGAGTATCGCGGCGATCCTCAAGCAACCCATGCCTATCGATTCTTCTGGGTCTGAACGTCACACACAGGGGCGTTGTGGTTTCTGTCCGAGAAACAGGGATCGGAAGAGTAAGACCAGGTGCACCAAGTGCAAAATTCCAATTTGCTTGGAACACCAAGTTAATGTACGCCAAAAGTGCTCAAATTGATGTGTAATGTAAAATTTAAAGGCTGATTCGTGATCGCATAATGTCAATTAATATAAATAAAAGTATAATTTTCTATAACTATTTTTATTTCTATACTTTACTAACTATTTTATTTTGGGGTGCCTTGTCACCCCTGTGTTGGAATACTGTATACGCCAGGCAGTGTAGGGTTTGAGGGTTAAATCGTGTGAGTACGCTTGTGAAAAGTTATTGCAGAATGATAAATGTGAAACGTCAAAAGGAATTTCTTAGATTTGGTTCACTATAGCAAAGGTGACATTTTATGTCGTGTCTGGTGAAAATTTAGACGGTGCGACAAGTCAATATTTACACGTGTTGGAATTTACAACGTGTACAATGAGCAGAGGAGTTTCCAAAATCTACACAAAATCAAAGAACATGCTCATCTAGTTCGTTTTACAGTAAATTTTTGGGCGGCAATCTTTAACGACCATATCATTGGTCCAGTATGGGTTGAAGCTCGAAGCTCTGCAAATAATACGTTTCGTCATCGACACAATGTTGTAAAACGTTCCTCTGAGTCTTCTGCAAGGAATGTATTTCCAGCACGACGGATATCCAGCTACTTTATTACCAACGTTCTATGCGCGCATATCTGGGCAGTCAATTCGGTGATAGGTGGATAGATCGCAGCTGACCTGTGAACTGGCTGATGAGATTACCAGACATAAAACGACTTTTATTTATGCGCCGAACTAAAACGATTAGTGTGCACAGAAAAAAGCACAGTGTTAGTGAAAGTTTGTCAAACAATTTACAAAGACGTGTTAGTTTGTATTTAGAAAGAATCGGTGGACATTTTGGAAAATTACTGCGATATCACTAAAAAGGTATTATTTTTGTAAACAATTTGATTGCGATCTTTAAAATACGACTAAGAGGTTTCAGTATAAAATAGGCATAAAAATTTGTTATTAAAAACTGTTTATGAATTGATTATAATGAAAGATAAAATTTTACATGTAATTAGCCCGTAAAAGTATGAAGGAAAGATCTAAATCACAAAAATAATAATCTGACACGATAGGTTCTCGGTTCCGGCGGGAGGGAGTGGCTTCGACTGCATTTGGTCGGCATGAATGTATGTCGCAGCCAAATAAGAAATAATACGTTTTAATATACGCCTAGTCGTAATGTATATCATGTAATGTATTATTTTTGCGTTTTACAATGTGGCTGATAATGTTGAATTTTACGTACCATGCATTACAAAACAAACAAATGCAGCGGGTTATCTTTGATACCGCAACAATAAATAGCACTTTTGCATTGTGGCTAGATATCTTGTTGTAAAGAACGTGGACCTAACTAGTCATTCTGTAATCAGGTTAGACATTGATATAGACATTTTAATTAATTAATTTATTTATTTATTTATAACGAGAAAAATTACAGCTTTTAATTAATACTATATGGTATATAACATAATTTACAAAGTAAGCCTATTAAAAGTTTTCACAGATGAGTAATCGGTTTGGGTAAATACATGCAACATATATAAGTAGATAAAATTTATACATTGATGTTGATTAGATTTAACAGTTCAAGAGTAAATTGCTACTGAATTCAGATATTATCAATTTGCAGATAGTAGTACTACTAGTAGAAAAGAGGTCAGCCTTATCACAGTCCTTAGAAAATTTATTAAATGAGTTACATGCTCTTAATAAGAATGAGTTTCGCCTGTAATTTGATCTACATAAAGAAACATGTAAGGGATTGTAATAGCGCAGTGAACGAGAGGGAACTGAGATATGTAATCTTTTTAATAAGTCAGGGCAGTCTAAACGATCTTGAGCAATTTTAGTTAGTAAGACCAGGTCAGCTGTATAGCGCCTGGTTTGCAGCGGGAGGAGATGAAGATGAGAACACTCCAATTCGTAGCCTCCTTTGGATATATGAAATTTCGAACCTACATATCGAATGAATTTTTTTTGAATATATATTTACTCAAAAATTATTCAATATTCAGGGAAACTGAAACAGGAGATGGGTAGCAGCATCTTCCTGGTAACAACTTAAAATAATAAAAAACTGCGGTTGTCAACCCACCTGTCAAGCATACCGACTTTGGTGAGATTCCGCCTATGAGGCAATCTATGGTGGTGGTTTATGTCTAGGGGTGATTTTTATCAGGTTGTAAAGGATGGATGGACGGATGAATGTATGTCAACATAGTGACCGTGTGGTGACGGTGTAAGAATGTCCTCCCCTATATCGATATCTTGTGGATGTGTGATGGGCAGCAAGGTCTTTCTGTCTTTTCTTTCCTATGTTCAGCATTGGAATAACGGCTTTAGCGGTAACGGTAATATCATTATAGTGAGGTATGTAATACATTACCGTGTAGCGGTGGTGTGAGAATAACTACCACCCCATATCATCCCGTAGGCATCGTGAGAGGTGACAGAGAGAAACAAATTAGAAGACAGGCAGAAACGTCTTCTTAATAAAGACTAAAATTTAAAAAAAACTGTGGTTGCCAACATACTTGCCAAGTAACAAATAAAGTAAATATCAGGCAGTCTTTGGGGGAGGCCTGTGTTCAGGAGCTGTCACAGTAACGGGGTATGTAAAACGTTGATTTCGGTCACAAAACCGGAATTGAATAAAGAATAAATTTTACAATTCAAAATTAAAACGTTATTCTTATGAATATTTGAAAATGTGATTTGGAATACAGGAAAGCGTGCCTTCTTTATTATTGTAAAGAAGGACAATTTAAAATAAAATACATAGGAAGAAAAAAGGAAAATTTAGAACTTAATTATATAAAATTGTGAAGAAAATTACATAACATATAACATAAACACTCACGCCTGTCACCCAGAGGGGTAGGCTGAGACTACAGACTTCCATTTGGCACGATCCTGACACACCTCTCTCGCCTCCTTCACATCCATACACCTACGCATACATGCTCGTCGGTTAAGGGTATCCTAATTTGGCCCGTTTTTAATAAATCGCCAATTTGGTCGATAAATTTTCGCCTAGGACGTCCCTTTCCGACTCTTCCATTCACTTCTACAACATAAATTTTCTTTGTCACTCTTTCCTCATTCATTCTTTCCACATGACCAAACCACCGAAGCATTCCTTTCTTAACCCTGGTCACAATTTCATCTTGCAAACCACACTCTTCTCTTATTACACAATTTCTTACCCTGTCATTAAGATTCAGCCCTAACATACTCCTTAACGACCGAATTTCTACTGCGTTCATTCTACTCTAGTGCTTCTTCTGCCACACCCAACTTTCACTACCATACGTTAAAGTAGGGACAAACACAGCATTGTGAATTGCCATACGTGCCTTTTTCGACACATTTTGACTCTTCACAATAGAGTGCAGGGCCCCATTGACTCTATTTCCCGCATTCACTCGTCGTTCTATATCCTTATCATATCTCCCATCCCTGCTAAATATGCAGCCCAAATATACAAACTCATCTACTTGCTCGATCAACTCCCCTTCTATTCTTATTTCACAAATTGTTTTACTTTCTTCTCTTTCAAAAACCATAACCTTCGTCTTACTTGCGTTCACTTTCATACCCCTTTTTTTAATGATCTGTTCATTAATGTAACCATCATTTGCAACTCGGCCGCCGACGACGCAAGGATAAATTGATCATCGGCGTACAAAAGGAATTTGACGGTTAACTCACCCATTCTTAATCCGCATTCTTCAACTTTCAAATTTTGCAGACAACTGTCCATAAATAGGTTGAACAGCCACGGGGAAGCCACACAGCCCTGTCTGACACCTTTATGGATGTCAAACCAGTCCGAGTAGACCTCGTTGATCCTAGCACAAGCACTAGAGTCCCTATAAAGGGACTCCAATGCCCGTATCAAGACAGCGCCCAACCCAATGACTTCAGTGTTTGCCATAGCACATCCCTATTCACTCTGTCATAGACCTTTTCCAAGTCCATGAACGCACAAAAAACCTTTTGGTTTTTGGCCAAAAAACTTTTCCGCGATCATGCGCATGGAAAAGACTTGATCTGTACATCCCATTCCCTTTCTAAATCTCGCTTGCACATCCCAAATTTTTCCATCAGTTTCTTTCATGACCCTTTCAATCAGTACCTTAGCATACAGTTTTCCCACAATGCTAAGAAGGCTGATGCCACGGTAGATTTTACAGTCCTGCTGCGACCCTTTTCCTTTATATACTGGGACTATCACGGCTTTGCACCAGTCTACCGGTACCCGCTTCAGTTCCCAGCATAAATTAAACAAGGTGTGCAGCAGGCCTGCCACTACTTCCTCTCCAGCCCTTAGCATTTCGAGTGAAACTCTATCACATCCGGCAGCCTTACCTGCTTTTATGCTTTTCATTGCTTTCATTATTTCACCTATACTTATCTCGCTACCTCTTTCCTCTTCTTTCGGAATTTCTACTTCACTTAGTACACACGTTGTCTCCTCATTCATAAACACGCTTTCAAAATATTCCTTCCATCTCTTTAAACTCAAAACTTCATCATTCAGAATAGAGCCATTCTCGTCTCTTATAGCATTCATCATAGGCTGTTTCGAATATCCCCTGGCAGTTCTTACAAGTTTCCAGAACATTTTAATATTTGTCTGGAAATTATGCGATATTCTTGTATCATT